AACATTCAACACAGTGATTTTTCGCTGTGCCCTTTTTGCCAGTCTTCATTCCTTGCTAAAACAGGCCATGTGTCTTCTCCATTCTGGATGTAGGGATTCTAAACATTGCTGGTGAAAAGCAAGGACTCCCTGACAAATGCATGCTTTCTCAGCGGCATTGTGCTCCTAGTGTGGATTAGAAATTCATTCATTCATCCTTGTGGCCTTGCTGTCATATGGCCTATAACATTTCCCCAGCTTCCTATAGTATGCAACAAACTTTCAACTCCACCCCACTCCAATTTTACTAAATGGTCTCACCTACATCTATTTTGCACCTGTATATTTTGTATACATTTGTTTTTTCTTTGAGACAGAGTCTCACTCTGTTGCCCAGGCTGGAGTGCGGTGGTGCTATCTGAGCTCACTGCAACCTCTGCCTCCTGGTTCAAGTGATTCTCCTGCCTCAGCCTCTTAAGTACTTGGGATCACAGGCACGTGCCACCATGCCCAGCTAATTTTTAGATTTTAGTGGAGGTGGGGTTTTGCCATGTTGGCCAGGCTGGTCTTGAACTCCTGACCTCAAGTAATCTGCCCACTTTGGCCTCCCAAAGTTATGGGATTACAGGTGTGAGCCACTGTACCAGGTTTTTTTTTTTTTTTGAAACAAGGTTTCACTCTGTCACCCAGGATCATGGCTCACTGTAGCCTCCACCTCATGGCCTCAAGCGATCCTCCTGCTTCAGCCTCCTGAGTAGTTGGGGCTACAGGCATGTACCACCATGCCCAGCTAATTTTGGTTTTAATCTTTGTAGAGATGAGGGTCTCCCGCATTTGCTTGTAACGGGCATCCAGAAGAACTTTGCACAGGGCCTTTGCACGTGCTGCAACTCCCCTGGGAGTCAGCATTGCCTCCCTCATTGTCTGTATGAGGCCTCCCCATCCGCTATATCTCAGCTGTCACTTTGTCATGGCAGCTTTCCTACGATCCCTCCTGATTTGCTTATTTGACACTCGTGCTTCATTCCTGAAACAGTCTTCTCTTGGTTTTCAAATATCACATTCTCCTGATTTTTCCCCAAACTCTCCAGCTTGAGTTCAGCCTAATGAACTTGGCTATTTATTTGAGACAGGCTCTAGCCCTGTCACCCAGGCTGGAGTGCAGTGGTGCGATCATAGCTCACTACAGCCTCAAAATCCTGGGCTCAAGTGATCCACTCACCTCAGCCTCCTATGTAGCTGGGACTACAGGTGTGCACCACCACACCTGGCTATTTATTATGTTTTGTAGAGATGTGGTTTCCCTATGTTGCCCAGGCTGGTCTTAAACTTCTGGACTCAAGTGATCTACCCACCAGAGCCTCCCAAAGTGCTGAGATTATAGGTGTGAGCCACTGTGCTCAGCCAATTTCTGTTCTTTATAAATTACCAGGTCTCAGGTACTATTAACACAGTACAAATGGACTAAGAAACTGACCATAGTAAAAATACATTAAACTTGGTTATTTTATTTTTTTATTTTTATTATCATTTTTTTGATATAGAGTATCACTCTGTCACCCAGGCTGGAGTGCAGTGGCGCGATCTCAGCTCACTGCAACCTCTGCCGCCTGGGTTAAAGCAGTTCTTCTCCTGCCTGAGCTTCCCAAGTAGCTGGGATTACAGGAACCAACCACCACGCCCAGCTAATTTTTGTATTTTTAGTAGAGATGGGGTTTCGCCATGTTGGCCAGGCTGGTCTTGAACTCCTGACCTCAGGTGATCTGCCCGCCTCCGCCTCCCAGAGTTCTGAGATTACAGGCATGAGCCACTGCGCCCAGCCTAAAGTTGGTTATTTAATTAATTTATTTGTTTTGAGATGGAGTTTCGTTCTTGTTGCCCAGGCTGGAGTGCAATGGCGCGATCTTGGCTGACTGCAACCACTGCCTCCCGAATTCAAGCAATTCTCCTGCCTCAGTCTTCCGAGTAGCTGGGATTACAGGCATGCGCCACTACACCCAGCTAAATTTGTATTTTTAGTAGAGGTGGGGGGGGTTTCTCCACGTTGGTCAGGCTGGTCTTGAACTCCTGACCTCAGGTGATCCGCCTGCCTTGGCCTCCCAAAGGGCTGGGATTACAGGCGTGAGCCACCGTGCCTGGCCTTGGTTATTTTAAATACAGAAAATCCTCAAGGCTTCATTATAGACCCTTTTCTTTTCTTGTACTCTTTCCTATTGTTATGGCTTTAGGTACCATTCAATTCCCATGACCTCTGACTTCTGAGTTAAACTTTGCATCTTCATGAGAATGTTTCAAAGGCAACTCAGCTGAGGCCAGGTTTGGTAGCTCACACCTAAAATTCCAGCACTTTGGGAGGCAGAGGCAGGATGATTGCTTGAGGCCAGGATCTGGAGGTTTCAGTGAGCTATGACTGGGCCACTGCACTCCAGCCTGGGTGACAGCGCAAGATCTCCTGTCCCAGCCTTTTTTTAAAAAAAAAAAAAAAGGCAATTCAGGCTGGGCGTGGTGGCTCACGCCTACAATCCCAGTACTTTGGGAGGCCAAGGTGGGAGGATCACTTGAGGTCAGGAATTCGAAACCAGCTTGGCCAACATGGTGAAACCTGGTCTCTACTAAAAATACAAAAAATTAGCCGAGTGTGGTGGTGGGCGCTTGTAATGCCAACTCGTAGGAGGCTGAGGCAGAATTGCTTGAACCCTGGAGGTGAAGGTTGCAGTGAGCTGAGATTTTGCCACTTCCAAGCAATCTCCTGTCCTCAGTCCCCCCCCAAGTACCTGGGAATACAGACATGTGCCACCACACAGTTTAATTTTTGTATTTTTTTGCCAGTGATAGGGTTCTCCATGTTGGCCAGCTGGTCTTGAATTCTGGACTCAAGAGGGGATCCACCTGCCTTTGGGCCCTCCTAAAGGTGCTGGATTACAGCCAAATAGAGACCTCAGCCCTGGGCCTAATGCTTTTTAAAATGGAGCAGGCTCCAACCTTTGGCGTTCTGCCACTGGGAGCAGAAAAAGAACCAGCTGCAGGCCAGTGCCGTCCCTTTGTATTTATCCAGATCACCTTCCACTGAAGCCAAGTGATCCAACTGGTTCTTGAATCTCCCTTAGAGATGCTAGCTTCCTGATTACCCTGCCCCATCATTCTCTCCCTTACCGTGATAAGTCATTGGGGCCAATTTTCCTGCCTTTCCCAAAGCCCAGCCCTTTCCCAATCTGTGTCTCCCCTGTAAAGGTCCCCTGGCTTATACACACTGGCAGTATTTAAAGGGTTGCAGCCAGTCGTTGCTGTGGAAAGGTCGCTCTGCAGCCCAGCCCCGGCTTCTTGTTAGCCTCCCCTCCTTGTCAACTCTGCTACCTGTGACTGCCTTGCTCTGAGTCCCTTATGACTAGTAGCCTTCTGTCTCTGAAGCAGAATTGGTCCACATATCCATTTAAGGTAAACAGGTTAATTTGCAATCGCAAGGGTGCAGAGGGAGGAAGCCCACAGCCTGAAAACCCCCAGATTTTTTATGAGAACTTGATCTATTGTAGTTTTTTTTTTTTATTATTAGTATATATTTTTTTATAACAGGGTCATCCTGTCACCAGGCCCTCTGGAGTGCAGTAGCACAATCCAATGCTTATCGAAGCTTCGACCCATCCCCAGGGGCTCACATGATTCTCCCATCTCAACCCTCCCTAGAAGCTGGGGGCTAACAAGTGCACACCACCCATGCCCAGCATTTTTTTTTTTTTTTTGGTATTTTTTTTTTTTTTTATAGAGACAGGGTTGTCATGTTGCCACAGGGCCTGGTCTCAAACGCCTGCCCTCAAGTGATCCTCGCCCCCGCTAAGCCTCGGCTCCAAAGTGCTGGAATTACAGGCATGAGCACCGGCTTTTTTTTTTTTTTTTTTTTGAGACGGAGTCCCCCTCCGCTCTGTTCGCCCAGGCTGGAGTGCAGTGGCCGGATCTCAGCTCACTGCAAGCCTCCGCCTCCCGGGTTCCCGCACATTCCTCCTCCGGCTCAGAGCCTCCGAGTAGCTGGGACCTACAGGCGCCCCGCCAACTCCGCCCGGCGAGTTTTTTTGTATTTCTTAATAGAGACGGGGTTTCACTGTTAGCCCAGGATTGGTCTCGATCTCCTGACCGTCAGTGATTCCGCCCGTCTTCAGCCTCAAAAGTGCTGGGATTACAGGGCCCTTGAGCCCACCGCACCGGCTTTTTGTTTTTTTTTTTTTTTTTAAGAGACAGTATC